CTGAGGAGGACCTAAAGCACTTGCTGCAGAAGGTCAAAGACTGCAGCCTTCAATATGGATTGAAGCTCAGCATCAAGAAAACAAAGATTCTCACCACTGGGCTGATTGACAGCTACATGGTGAAGAGATTGAGATTGTCAACAACTTCAGTTTGCTTGGCTCCACAATCAATACCAGCAGCCAGGAAAGAAAAAGATTAATTGCATTGGGAAAATCTGCTGTCAGAGACCTCTCCAGAGTACTGAAGAGCAAGGATGTCAGTCTGGAGACTAAATTGTGCCTTATCCAGGTCATGGTTTTTGCACTTATTTGCTATGCATCAAGAGATGGACAATGACTAAGGATGATAGAAGGAAAATTGATGCCCTTGAGCTGTGGTGCTGGAATATTGAATATACCATGGACAACTAGAACAAGCAGGTTTGCTCTGGAGAAGGTGAAACCAGGGTTCTCCTTGGAAGCAAGGATTCTGAAGCTCCGTCTGACATAATTTGAGCATGTTGCAAGGAGAGACCAGTCCTTGGAGAGAGACATCATGCTTGGGATAGTGGAGGGACAGTGCAAGAGAGGAAGACCCTCAATGAGATGGATTGATTCAGTGATTGCAGTTATGAGAGTAGGAGTGTGAGGGACAGTAAGGTTGGCTGGATAGAGGCAGGGTTAGAGCTGTTATACATAAGGTCGCTATGAGTCGCAAGTGACTCCATGGCACCACCTTGTGGATCCTGTGATTTCTCCTGCTGGGGATGGAGTGCTGAAGGAGAGTTAGGAGCATGGGTGGATAGTGTGGGCAGCATGGTTCAGAGTTCTTTCCATCTGCTAGCTGGCAAGACAGGACAGAAAGCAGAAGGTGGGCAGTGAGGGGATGGAATAGTTTCATCCTATAGCCAAGCATAATGGCCACCCATTAAGCATATGGGCCGAAAGGACCTTGGACAAAGATAGCCTCCAATTCTGGATGTACTCACCTGGTTGAGGGTGCTGATGGGAAAGTGGAAGCCAGGGCAGGAGTTCGGGCAGGGCTGTAGACGCCAATGCGTTGGCAAAACTAGAAAAATCTTGGTCAGTTCCCTGGCATTAAAGGAGGAGAGGCTGTTCCTTCTTGTTCATACAACCTGACAGTGGCCAGTAGTGCCAAGGCCCTGAAGTGGGCTGAATAGAAATTGGAGCAGTATCCACTGGGTCAGGCATTCTGTGTCATTATGTACTGTCCCTCCAAGGAGGGCAGAGCCACACAGGTGGCCTGTTTAGGCCTAAAGGTCTCTGATTGCTGGATCCTAGTGGCCTCCAAGTATTGCCACAGTGCCCCCTGCTGTGTCCTGGCCCAGCTATGCCCTTTCTTGTTCTGAATTTCTTCATTTGCAAAACTGAGAGGGAAGAATACAACAATGGAGAAACAGGCTGAGCTTGGACATGTTCCTTCAGCATTGCTCACATAGCATGCACAGCTGCATGGATGAGTAGGGAAGGGTTGTTGGCTTGAGGAGCAGGAAGTCGTGGGAACCCTTCACCTGTTTACTGGACATGGCCCCATGTTGGGGCAAAGGCTGAGAGAAGAGATCAAGAGATCTGAGATGCAGGGAGAAGTGTGAACTCCTGAGCTTGCAGCTGATATCCATTTAAAGCGAGCCACAAATGACTGGGATGAGTTAACCAAAACCCAACCAGATGATCCAGGCTGTGAACTAGGGTTGATTGCTGAAACCTAATGGCTTACTCTGGACTGGACAATGCTTATGGATGCAGGATGCTCAAAGTTTCCAAGTTGAACAGAGAATCCTTCAGCAAAAGGGATGTGCTTGTTTCCTCAGAGTCCTGGTTTGATGTTATTTTTATGTGCCGTCAAGTTGATGGTGACTCATAGCAACCCTATGCCTATAGGTCTGAACTCTTTCCTATCTGGAGCCAATCTCATTGTCTCTGACACACTTACGCCCTTACTGCAAATCCTGTGTCAATCCATCTTATCCAACGTCTTCCTCTCCTGTGCTGACCCTCCACCATTCCAGGCATGATGTTCTTCTCTAAGGACTGGTCCCATCTGGCAACATGCTGCCCAAAGTATGTCAGACAGAGCTTCAAAATCCTTGCCTCCAAGGAACAACCCTCTCTAGGACAAACCAGTTTATTTTCTTGGCAATCCATAGAATGTGTGCCTGGTGCTTCTTGGGTGGGCTCCTGATGCAGGCCTGTGGTTTTTGGATATGTGCACACAGGAGACCAGTGTGGACAGACCTGAATCCCAAGAAAGTCCAGAATGCCTGGACTGGAAGGCTAGAATGGACACTAGAATGCCTCTAGCTATAGTGGTCTCCAGGAAAAAGGAGGTGGGATGAAAATACAGAAATCAGAAGAACAAAAGGGGTAGAGATTATCCAGTCAGGAGCCATACACAGAACAGGACAAGAGGAGAGAAGTGGAACATTATGTTACCATTCAAATGTCTTAACACTGTGTGGGCTGGTAGGTTCAAGAGAGAGTAAGGGGGCACCATGCCCACTCTGAAGTAGGATGAGGGTGCAGCACACTTTAACTCTCCTCCTGGGTTTTGTGCAACAGATGTTAGGCTACAGACTTAAGAAAGAGATCAGAGAACAAGAAAGAAAGCTTAAAAGCAGCTTTATTAGGGGAGCTCCTGGGTGAGGTTCCTTGTTCTGAAGATGCAGGAGGAAGTCACGCTTTGAGCATATTGAGGAGGGTTTTTATAACAGGGTCTTCAGGAAGGGAAGGGAAGGGAGGGACATTCCGTTGTGATTTATGGTTCATCCATTAGTTCGGCCAGGTGGGAGAGGCTGTTCACTCTTCTTATTGACGTGTGTATTCTTTAAATTCTTCATTTCCCCCCCGTGTACCTGTCTGGACCTAACAAGTTGTTGGTGGGGTGATTGTAAGGGAGGAAAAAACCCTCCACAATATAAATGAATAAAATACAATGTAAATGAAGGACTGTGTGGATTGTAATGCACATGCATGAAATACAATATAAACGAGTGATTAAAATATTAATAAAATAAAGAGGAAAACTTCCCCAAAGTGATGGGAGTGGAAGTGATCAGGTGGAGCAGCTAGATCAAAAGGTTACTGGTGCTTTCTGGATCCTTTCTTTTCTTCTTTCCTCCCATCCTTACCTCCAGCACAATTCACTCAACTGATTTCATTTGTTCAGAAAATATCGATCGATGCATTGTTCCCTCCAGGGCTGGGTGATACTAGACTGAGATGATTCAAACCCACTGTCTGCCCTTGGGGAGCTCCACATCTTATGGGGTGGTAGAATATGTAAACAAACAGGTGTGATTCAGTCCTCCTAGCCAGGAAGCTTCTGCTGCCTGGGGTGTGGGGGAGTTGGAGAACACTTCCCAGGACAAGTCCTTTGCATTGGGCCTTGAAATAGGAGGTAAACAAGGGTAGGGGACATTTTAAATGGGAGCAGCACACCAGGAGGGGAGTGCTCTGCCAAGGCATGGAGATAAGATGTGGCTGACTTCTGGGTGCTGGATCAGTAGATGCCTGGCCTGGGAGCAGTAGATAAGGGACTTGAATGCCTTTGGAAAGGATGTTTCCTCCAAGAAGCCAGGCTTCAGCAGTGAAGGTAGGGAGGTGATTCTGGAGCAGTGTATGACTTGATCAGAGCTTTGACTGAAGGCTGGCAAGATGAAGGATGATTGGAGAGGCTGGGAGAGGACCAGTGAGGAGCTGGCCTCTGGTTTAAAAGAGGACATGAGTTGGGGCCTGGGCCAGGGGCTGGGTTCAGGGACTGTTGGGAGGTGGAAGGAAGGAGCATGGGGACACTATTGGGCAATCTGCACTGGGACCATTGAGCAGGATGACCATCCTAGAGTCTAGAGCTTGGGAATATCAGTAGGGTGGATGGTGCAACTGGCTGGAAGCAGGCTCTCAGACTGCCCACTGAGTGAGTTAGGGTCAAGAGGGACCTCTCACAGTGGTGCTCAGGAGGAGAGCACTGCTGTCCACCACAGTGCTCACTGTGAACAGGGATCCTATTTACAGGATGCTGGTGTCTGCCTTGTGCATGGTTCACAAGCCAGATGGCCACAGTGTCCACGTGCTTGTTGCATCTGGAGTGGAGGGCTGGGCAGGTTCTTGTCCATGTCTGTGAGTGCTATTTTCTGGGGCACAGGCAGGGCACCTGGGCTTCTATCCAAAGCAGAGAGAGGCCATCTGCTCTGCTCTAGCAGCCCATTAAAGAAGCTTGGCTGACAGTTGATTTAGCAGTACACTTAAATTTTCTGGCCAGAGCCCAGAAACTTCCTTAGTGCCTCACCATTAAGCACATTACCCTCATGTGACCTGACAGTAAGAAATAAACAAGTAATTCTAGGGGTGGAAAAGGATGAGGAAAAGTGATAGGAGTGTGGTGACAGAGGAAGCATGGGATCTAGGGAAAGATTCTAGGGAAGCAGCATGTGCCAAGGCCCCAGATAGAAGTGGGTGGGAGGTTTGCAGGAGGAAGGGAGGGCAGAGTATTGGAGCCCAGTGATGAATCAGAGCACTATCAGATGGGAGGTACTTCTGGGGGATGGAAGACAGCCTGGACCACAAGCTGCGTGTGGTTCATTCTGGGTGACTGCAGAATTCTGGTCAGGATGTGGCATGGCCTTGAAGTTCTCTGGAGGCCAGAAACACCACTGGCCTGAAGCCTTCTCATCCTGGCTGTAGTATCTGAAGGAGGCCAGGTGGGGGCATGAAGGGATGGCAGTGGCACTGCTTGACTCATCAACTGGAGGGATAAGTGACATGACAATACACAAGTGAAGGCTGAATACTGACCTTGGGCCTCTCAGCCTCATGCCCCTGTGGGGAGGATGGCTAGGACTGAAGAGGAGAGTCCAGTGGGGACTTCCTGCCTACATGGGGCCACTTGAGTGGCACCCTCAAGCCTGGCAGGAATCTGTGATGGATGTCAGCAGGCAGGAGGAGTCAGGAGAGGAGCCTGACTGAGAGAGAGGTCCACAGCCTGGCACTGGCCAGGTCCTGAGTGTAGGGAGGCATGGTGTGGCAGTGCTGCCTCAGTCTTCCTCTCTTGCAGATGACGTGGGCTGTGTGGTGCCCTCTGAGTGCCTGCGGGCCTGTGGGGCTGAGATTGGCTGCTCCAACATCGCCTACCCCAAGCTGGTCATAGAACTAATGCCCACAGGTGAGGCTGTCTGGATGTCCAGAACCTTGGACAGGCTGAGTAAGAGGGAGGCAGAACTGTGGGCCCAAAAAGGGGAATGTGACCTACAAAGTTCTTATATATTTCCCCTCACATTGGATCCCCCCACCTCCCTAACACCCCACCATCAAACTGTGCAACCCCATGATTACCCATCCTGTCCATCCCCACCCCCACCTTATATCTTCATACACATTCTACTAGTTATCTTTCTATCTCTACAATAATGGTCTTATACAATATTTGCCCTTATGGGACTGAGTTAGTTCACTTAGCATAATACTCTTCAGCCCCGCCAAAGTTGTTGTTATGTGCTGTTGAGTTGCCTGTGACCCACGGCAAACCTGTGTACAGCAGCTCAGAAGCCTGCCCTGTCCTGAGCCAGTCTCACTAATTCTGACACATCTACCCCCGCTACCCTAGCTACTGTATCAATCCATCTCATCCAGGGTCTTCCTCTCCTGTACTGTCCCTCCACCCTTCCTAGCATCATGTCCTTCTCCAAGGATTGGTGCCTCTTGGCTGCATGCCCAAAGTATGTGAGATGGAACTTCAAAATCCTAGCCTTCAAGGAGAAACTTGCTTTCACCCTCTCCAAGACAGACCTATTTGTTTTCTTGGCGGTCCATGGTATGTTCAAGATTCTTCTCCAGTGTCACAACTTGAAAGCATCGATTCTTCTTCTTCTATTATCCCTTAGTCATTGTCCAGCTTTCTGATGCATAGCAAGGAAGTGTGAAGACCATGGTACACACAGGAATCAGATCTATTACACTTGTGGAAGGAATCACTGGAGAAGTTCAATATCAGCAGTGAAAACTAAGCCAGGTGCTGAGTGTGGAACACACCTCCCAAGTTAGGTAGTGATTTACAAAATCATTGCTCCTCCATGCTGCATAGTATTCCATCATGTGAATTTTTCATAATTTCTCAGTCCATTGATTGTGGATGGACATTTAGGCTGTTTCCATGTGCTTGCAATGGTGAATAGCGCTGTTATGAACATTGGTGTACAAGTCTCCATTTGTGCCTCAGCTCTCATTTTCTCAGGGTATGTTCCAAGCAGTGAAATAGCTAGGTCATAGGGAATTTCTATGTTCAGCTTTCTGAGGAAATGCCACACTGGCTTCCAGAATGGTTGTACCATTTTACAATCCCACCAACAGTATGTAAGAGTTCCTATCTTGCCGCATCCTCTCCAACATTTATTACTTGCTGCCCTGCTAAACTTTGCTGCTGCTACTGGAGTGAGATGGTATCTCATTGAGGTTTTGATTTGCATATCTCTTATTGCCATTGATTTTGAGCATTTCTTCATGTGTCTGTTTGCCATTTGAATATCTTCCTCTGAAAATTTTTTTCATGTCTTTTGCCCATTTTATAATTGTATTATCAGTCTTTTTCTAGGGAAGGCTGTGGAGGCCCTGTAGAATTCTGTAAACTTTTGATATGAGACCCTTGTCTGAAATGGTATAGCCAAATATTTTTTCCCCCAATCAATAGGTTTTATTTTTACTCTGCTGGAAAAAGTTTTTGATGTACACAGGAATTTAATCTTTAGAAGGTCTCATTCATCAATTTTATCCTCTCCAGATTGCGCATTTCTCTGTACTTGGCAGTCTCTTTATATCATATACTAGGCCATCTAAGCTTGATCCCAGTTTGTTTCTGATGAACTTTATGGCTTTGGGCTTTATTCCCAGGTCTCTGATCCTCCTTGAGTTGATTTTTGTGTATAGTGTGAGATGTGGATCCTCTTTCAGCTTTCTGCAGCTAGCAGCCCAGTTTTGCCAGCACCATTAATTGAAGAGGTTGTCATTTCCCCATTTGAAAGGTTATATTTCCTTGTTGAGTATCAGTTGACCATAAAGAGTTGGATCCGTTTCTGGGTTTTCAATTCTGTTCCATTGGTCTATGTGCCTGTCATTGTAGCAGTACCATACAGTTTTGGTTACTACCACTATGTAGTAGGTTTTGAGGTCAGAAAGTGCTATGTCTCCTATTTAATTTTTGTTTTTCTAAAGTGCTTTGCTTATTCATGTCCCCTTTCTCTTCAAATAAACTTAGCAATTTCCCTTTTGATCTCCTTGAAAAATGAATTTGGTATGCATTGGGACTACATTGAACCTATAGATTGCTTATGGTCATTTTCACAATATTGAGTCTTCCTATCCATGAAAAGGGAACTTTTTTTGGTTTCTTTTTGTCTTTTATTTTGTCTTGCAGAAATGTTTAGTGGTTTTCTTTGTATAGAAAGTCAGACACGTTTGTCTGTCCAGGCACTAGACCTCTCCTTCACTTCAGGAACTATGGAATTTTCCTGTTACACCTTGGGCTAGTATTTGCTTATCATCTTGCTGCATCCAGAAATCCACATGTGGAAAAGGCATTCAGGAGAGCGATCCTGTGTGAACGGACCCTGCATTGTAAATGCTAATTATTGGTCCTCCCATCAGAGCTCAGGCGGCATGGAGCTTCTCCAGCCTTCAGTCTTTGAAGGAGGCTCTGTAAATCTCTGTAATTTTTATGTTGATGATAATGCCATAAATTATTGGAAAATGGCTTTAATTTTCTTCCTAGTCATTTAATTCTGTCACACATAATGTCACTAGGTGGGTGTCATTATCTTGTCTGTCAGGTTCACTGAGAAATTGCTGAATGTGTTTCCATGACATCTGTCTGTCATCACTGAAGCCACCACAAGGTGCACTTCCAGACTGTTGCACTTTGTGAGCGTGGGAAAGGATTTAATGGAGGCGATGATCAAGGGGACCTGGGCTTTAGTGTTTCCCCATTACCTGTGTGCCTCAGGACCACAATGTGATAAGTGGTGGCATCATCAGAATCCAGCACGGAGATGGAGCACCCTTTGGGGAGGCCACGGAAAACTCTCTGCTGAACATACAGAATACCCTGAGGTCCCACTTGTTGAAAAGACAATAAGAACAGACTCTGAAAGTCTGGCTCTTTCTTCCGGTGTCAGATGGGCACAGGCAAGGCCCCAACAGGCTGGGCAGCCACACTTGCCATCCCTCAGCCAGCAGCAGCATCACAGATGCAGCAGCCCAGGAAGGTTCTGGAGGCAGAGACCTCCCCAGCCTGGGCTGTCCACTGCCCCTCCCGCCCCTCTAGCCACCTCAGGGCGCTGCTGGGAAGTAGAGTCTGCACAGAGATGGTGAGGATCTGCTGGGCCAAGGATTTCTTTAAAGTGATAAAGAGCAATGATGCCAGTTTTAAAGACTAAGGCATGGCTAATTTAAGCCATGGCCATTATTTTCGTGCTTTCAATAGTTTTAGATGCCTGTGAGAGTTGGGCAATCAATAATGAAGACCAATGCCTCTGAATTGTGTTGAAGGGTATTGAACATACTGAGAACTGCCAAAAGAACAAACAAATCTGTGTTGGAGGAAGTGCACTCAGGGTATTGTTAAAGGCAACGATGGCGAGACTTCACCTCACACTCTTTGGGCATATTGTCAGGAGTGGCCAGTCCTTGGAAGGGGACATTGTGGTTGGAAGAGTGGAAGGTTAGCAAAGGAGAGGAATCCCTTCAGTGATGTGAATGGACAGTGACTGCAACATTTGACTTAAGCACAGGAGATGGTGAGGCTGGCGTAGTATCTGCTGTCCACAGAATCTCTGTGAACTGGAGTAATCTCAATAGTGCCTGAGGACAAGTGTGCGCTTCCTCTCCCTCCTCCTGCAGAGATGAGGCCCAGACAGACAGAGTGCCTGGAGCTGGTGTTGGTTCTCAGCACCATTTGCTGGTGGAATTACTTGGCATACATCACTTCCCTGCTCACTATTGTCACTTGTAAATTGGAGATGATGACTCCTCCTACCCCTCAGTATGGTTGCTGGGATTAAATTTAACAAGTGCCCCTGCAAGACTTGGAAATGCTGTGAGTTCTCCCCGCTGAGCCTGGCGTTTCTCTTCTGTTTTGGAAAGACTCTCTAACCACCCAGCATTGAAACCCAACAGTCATTCAGTAAATGGCCCGAGACACAGTCTTTTTCTAGGTCTTAAGATCCCTATTGGAAAAACCCATCATCCTGAGCAAGAGAAAGAAGATGGAGAAATATTTTGGCGAGAATGGTGACATAACTCACCCTCCCTTGTCCCTTCTCCCAGCCAGTCTAAAGAGTGAACAGAGTGGCTGGAGTCACATGGCCAGTAGATGAAGCACCTGGCACTGCCCTGGCCATCTTCAGGGCTTAGTCCGTGAGGGCTGGGGAGCAGGATGTCTCAGGCTTATCTGATTGTGGGGGTGGGAGTTGGAGACAGACAGACAAACTGCAGGGGTGGAGGAAGACTGCAATATGTGTAAGGAAAAGTTTGGAGACAGGTTGGGACCAGAGAGGATCAAACATACTTCGCATCCTGTGGTCCCCACTCAGCCTCTGGAGTCTGTGACTCCTAGAAGCTTTGCATCGCTGGACCTCCTCACTCACATATGAAGACCCCTACTCTTTGTGGTACTGTTTTATCCCCTTTTGTGGACTGTATTCCTCATCCATAACACCACAAAAAAGAAAGTATGTGCAACATGTTGAGATCCCAGACCCCTGGGGGCTAAGGTTTGGCTTGTGAGGTGTGGCTGAGGTGAGCCTTACCCAGAGCTGGCCTCTGAGCAAAGGACTGCTGCAGGCTTTACTCTGGGAGGTGTGCTGTGAGTCCACACAGAAGAGTTCATATCCTTCTCTCAAGTGAGGTCATGGCTCTGAAAGTGCTTTGTCAACTGCAAAGTGCTTTAGAAGTGAGAGGGCTGACATTGACCAGAGCAGCCAGCTGGTAATTGCGGTGATTACTCTTACTGCGGGCATACTTCAGGCCCAAGCTGCAGATCCGGAAGGCAGTCTAGCCTTTATAGTCTCCTACCTTTGAAGGGGTAGGGGTACCCCTTCCACAACCTCCTACCCTCCTGCCTGCACAAGGATTCAGCCAGGTCTGCCTCAGAGGCAGTGCGGGTGGACAGCGAGGTGGTGGGCTCCGGGTCTCTGCAGCTGTCCCCTGTGCCCTCCAGGTCTCCGTGGACTGATGATTGCAGTCATGATGGCAGCTCTTATGTCCTCTCTGACCTCCATCTTCAATAGCAGCAGCACGCTCTTCACCATGGACATCTGGCGCCATCTGAGGCCCCGCGCTGGCGAGCGGGAGTTGCTGCTGGTGGGCCGGTATGGCTGGCAGGTGCTGGGACCCTGGCGGCTACGGCCCTGCCTGCAGTGGGCTTTGAGAAATACCAGGAAAGAGAGGAGAGAAAAAGCTCAAGAATCCTGTCTGCCTCACTTCTCAAATCGCTCTGTTCCCCAGATCCTTACAGAGGAATGTGGCCCTGCTCTGTGATGCTGACTTCCCTCCGCTGAGACCAGTCACTCCTGCACTCATCCCAGGCATTGCTGTCTTTCTAGAGCTGAGCTGTCACTGTCTGATGACTCTGAACTGCTCCTGAAAGGGTCTTGTTGCTGCTAGGACCCCTGTACTCCTGGCCCTAGGGAGCCCTTGCATATTGAATGATTCACCCTGAACAGTCTAGACTCTCTCTGTTCAATGGTCCCCTCCTCCTTGAAATCCTCTATGATAGCTCTGGAAGAGCCTTTCCCCACACTAGACAATGGCAGACTCCCATGCAGCAAATGTGAACTTCAGGTCTAATGTGACCACCTACTATCCTCTCCACTCAGGCACTCTATAAGGGCAGGGCTGCCTGATGGCTCCTCCCAGTTTAGAATCCTAGAGGAGTCTCATGGTGGGCAGGGATGTGGGTTTATTGCTTGTTGTTGACTAGCCATTGGCACTCAGAGGGGCCACCCTTGGCTGCTCTGGGTGCTAGCTGGCCTCTGTTGGGATAACTCTGCAGGACACACCCATCTCAGGCAGCATGAGCTCCTCCCTCCACCATGTAGAATGCAAACACACCTTATGTTTCTGGCACTTGCAGTTTTCTGCTCTCCCCAGTGGCTTGTAGGCCAGAGGAGCCACTACTCAGTGACCCTTGCTGGTCCCTCTCAGTCCCCTTTGCTCCAGCATCCTAGGACTAGGGCCTTGGACTCCTGTTTCCTATGTGCCAGGTACCAGTTCCTCTGAGGCATTAGGACAGCTACCAACACTTCCAGACAGTCCTGTCCAGTGCAGGCCTTGTCCCTCTGGCCCCTTGTAGTTCCCACCCAGTGGTCCTCTGTCCACTGCCTGGCCTCCTGGAGGCATGCTTTTTCCCTGCAGCTTCTCAAGCCCAAGCTCCTGAGCTGGTCTCCCCCAGTTCATCCACTGGGTCCCCTTCCTTTGACTGTCCTTCACACCTCCTCTGCAAAGCGAAGTTTCTCCAGGCCTCACCAGCCTTGCTCTCAGAACCCTGTAGGCAGGGCACCAGCTCTTGGATGGGGAGGGGATTCTGGCCTTTTATGGGTCCTTGTTCCTGTCTCCCAGTCCAGTGCAAGGGAAAGGGCCAGGGCTGGTGTTAGTGGGGTTAGCACCTCTCCATACTGAACCTTTAGGATAGGCCCCAACACTTGGCACTGAGACACCATGCTCAGCTTCCTCCTGCCTCAACCATCTGCTTCCTGGGCCTGTTCTCTGATAAGGTCTAGTGTGACCAATCAGACTCTAAGGAAAATGGCCTTAGAAGAGGAGCAGTGGAGCAACGTCTAGAAGCTCCTTTGAACTGTGTGTGTGTGTGTGTGTGTGTGTGTGTGTGTGTGTACACACAAGGCAGGCAGGCAGGTGGACTGCCTGTCCACCAGGCTAGGGATTAATTAGCTTTAATTAATCAGGGAACACCTCTTTCCTCCACCTCTGCCTCGGGCCTGGAAGGAAAGAAAAGCAGGTGGGAGAGAGGACCAACTTGGAAGATAATTTGCTGCCCCAGCCATTGTGACTGTCTCCCAGGGCCTTACCCCTCTTCACCTCAGGGGTGAGAGATGCTCATCTAGGGTGGAGCAGCTTAAGCTGAGGACCCCTAGCTAGCCCCATACCTTTCCAAGGCTTGGAAGCTCTCTTTTCTAGGAAACCAGCCTGTATTGCAGGTCTCCTGTAGGCTCTACCTGGCCTTGGATGCAGAGTGATAATTCCATCCACTTTGTTGCCTCAATCCTGAGCTCTGGTAGGGCCCATGCTGCTGGTCAGGTCAGGGCCCAAGCCAGGGCCTTCAACTTGGGGCCTTGACCACATGGGCTGCAGGAAAGAATGTGTGGGGCTTGCTGTGAAAAGTTTCTTTCCACCCAGGTGGGGACAGGCAGGAGTGGAAAGGAGAGGTAGCTGGGCTGTGGAGCAGCACTAAGTTCAATTTTTTTTTTTAAAGTCCAATTTCTAACCTAAGCACAGGCCTGGCCTGCAGCTAGCATGGGCTGATATCAAAGGCTGAAGGATGGACAGAGGGCAGGGTGAGGAGGCTGACCTGGCCTGGATGGGGGCACTGCTTCCTGAGTCCTTGCTGTGGGCTCAGCCACAGCTCCTCCTCCTGGCACTTCCTGGGCCAAAAACACTACAAACAAGTAAACAGAGGAGCTCAGAGGTGGCAGTGGGGTGGCAAGGTGCCCTGAAGGAGAAGATGGATGCCTAAGGGGGGCCCTGCACCAGTGATGGTCAGGGAGTACCAAGGTGGTCATAGGTGGCTGGGGGACAGAAGGAGGCTGCAAGCTCAGCCCTCCCCCACCCCACTCCCTGTGCTGCCCCCAGGCTGGTCATTGTGGTTCTCATTGGCGTGAGCGTGGCCTGGATCCCCATCCTGCAGGGTTCTAACAGTGGGCAGCTGTTCATCTACATGCAGTCAGTGACCAGCTCACTAGCACCCCCTGTGACGGCAGTCTTTGTCCTGGGCATCTTCTGGCAGCGTGCCAATGAACAGGTGGGAGTATGGTGTGGGAGGTAGGGAAAGGGTGTGGGGTGCCCTATCAGCCTTTCCATTCCTAATGCTCCACCTACTCCCTGTGCACTGAAGGGACCCTATTCTTTCTCATCCACTTCACCTGCCCTCCCCTTCTCTCCCAGGGGGCCTTCTGGGGCCTGATAGTGGGGCTAATTGTGGGCGCTGGACGGTTAGTCCTGGAGTTCTTGCACCCAGCACCTCCGTGCGGCACCCCGGAGACGCGGCCAGCTCTGCTTGTCAGCATCCACTACCTGCACTTTGCTGTGGCCCTCTTTGGACTCAGCAGTGCTGTGGTGGTGCTGGTGAGCCTGCTGACAGCAGCTCCTCAGGGAGCTCAGGTGAGATTTCCATCCAGCTCTACCCCCAGAGCTTTCATAGCTCATCAGTGCTTGGTTCTGACTCCACACCTTAAATGCTCAATTTCTGACAGGCTTTGGCTCTGATACCTGATGCTCTCTAGTCAGGATTTTTCTAGCCCTTGACCCCTAACCTTAGTACTTACCCTTGTCCCTTTTCTAACTCAGCTGCCATATTTCTACCACTGACCCCTGATCCTGACTGGATCCCCCTGCCCCTCTTGCAGATTGAGAATCTTACTTGGTGGACCCTGTCTCAGCCCCTGCCCTTGGAAGCCAAAGCAGGTCAGTTCCAGAACCTACATGTGCTTTCTTCCTCTGCTGAAGAGCAGAGGTGCCAGGTGTGGCCCTGACCCCCTCATCCATCTTTTCTCTTTTTGACTTTTCCAGGTAATGGCTCAGTGTCACAGAAGTATGCTTTCTGGGCCAGAGTTTGTGGCTTCAATGCCATTCTCCTCATGTGCGTCAACATCTTCTTCTATGCCTACTTTGCCTGATAGGGCTACCAGGGCAGACTTGGGAAAGCTTTGCCCAGTGCACAAGGCCACCCCTTCCCTAATGAGGAATCAGACCCTTCCTTGTGGGTTGGCCAAATCATCCAAGCCAGAGTCTTCAAACTAGGAGGGCTTAGGGAAGGGGAGAGATAAAGAGGCAAAAGAATAGATTTTTCAAAAATAATACCAAGGTTGTTATAATTGGAAAGAAAATGAGATTTCTGATGTCTATCCTTTACAGTTGCTCTGCTGCTTTTATTGGTTTATTTTAAGCCTTTTATTTTACTACTTGGGTCCAGGGCAGGAACAGCAGCATTGCCCAGAGCTTGTGGCTAGCCCTGAGACTGCAGCTGGGCCCAAGCTGAGGAGACTTCTCACTGTAACACCAGGCCCCACTCAAACAGCTCAGAAGCTTTGCCCTCTTGCCTGTTACCAAACGACTCTCCCTCCCCTGCTCAAGAGCCATCTGTAGCTCCCACGTACAAATACACCACGTACAAATCTCACACTGATACTCATGCTCTCAAAAGTGCTAAGGCAGACCCTGCCTTCTCCTGTGGTGTGGTGCCACTGGGACCCCCACCTGCATGCCAGCTGTGTCTCCATCTTGAATATTCACCCCCTTGGCTCCAGGGGACCTCCACTATCCTCTTCTATTGTCTACCCAGCTTCCCTGAGCTCTTACTTGACCTCAGTGAACCAAGTCCCCTGCTGCATGGTTAGGGAATCAAGTCCCTCAGAAGTGCCTATAACTTGCTGAAGGAGGACGGAGGAGCATGTCTCCCTCAGCCTGAACAAATCAAGTGGCTTTTCTGAGGGAGGTCCAGGTAGGCCCAGTGCAGGGTGAACCTTTAGTGAGCCCACTGTCCAATCCAGGGTTGAATCTGCAGTGGTTCTTAGCCCTCTGTGGAGAGGAGATTGCTGGGATGGGTGGGATCTGTGGCTATACAACTTTATGATGTCACACAGCTGGGGCCAATGAGACAGAAGCAAGCAGGCAGTTCTGGGGAACTGCTTCTGTCAGTTAGGTGGTGTTTGGGGCTCAGTTTATGGTCCAGTGTGGTTTAGTGGCCTGGAGTCAGGAGCCCCAAGTCCAGCCTGTGAGACCTGGACAAGCCATATTCTCAGCCTACTCCCAGGCCTCAGTCTCTCCTGGGAAATGGTCCTGCCTTGGAAGCCCATCTGCCGTAAGTGCATTGGTTGCACATAGCTCCGTGGAAAGAAGCCAACATGCCCACAGAGCCGACCCTGCTACCAGTTGGTGTCCTGGGTCTCCAGAACCTTGATGATGTCGCCTTGGCAGAAGTTGATCTGTGAGGGGTCCTGGGCTGAGAAATCAAAAGGGCCTGAGCAAAGGAAGCCTGGAGGGACTGTGAGGAAAAGAAAGTAGGTCAGTGGACCCCATGGCCAGACTTCCCACAGGCCACACTGCGCCCCACTGACCTCCAGTTCCAGGCCTTGTTGATACCCCAAGACAAGCACTTGCATAGGACTTTCATTCTGTGCCATCCTTTTCTTTTCTCATCTCCTTTCCCATTCTGTGAACACCACTGTAGCCCTGACTGCTGGGGAAGGAAGAATGGCTTGAGGCTGGTGCTCCATTCTTGTCTTTCTGCAGAGGGGTTGGTCCTGGATATTGGCCTGTCCTCCCACCTGCCTACCTACCTCAAGCAGGGGATCCTTGTCCTGAAGGAAGATCTGCCGGCTCTTGGTGATGGTGGTGGTGCGGTAGAAGTCAACCATCTCATTGAGGGAGCTGAACTTGTCTTCCCACAGAAAGTACTTTCCTGAGGCTTTTTGTAGAACCTTGAAATGCTGCACCTGATCCCCGTAGCTGAGGGCAAGGACCAAGCTGCCTCAGGTGGGCCCAGTGCCTCTCCCAGGGCCCTGCACAGCCCAGATCCCCAGATGTTTGTGCCCCGCCCCACAACCTGGAAGAAGATCTCTCAGTGAGGGAGGGTGGACTTGAGACTCCATTGGCTGGCCCTGTGTGCAACCTTGACACACTTCTGGCAAAGGATGTCTCTGGACAGGGCCACTAATCTGGCCACTTTTCCTGTGTGACTTCACTTCTCTGGATCCCTAACTGGAAGATGCTGACTATGGTTTATTTATTCACAAAACAAATGGGCTCTTCTGTGAAAATGTGAATTTCACAGCATCTATGCTCCCACCTATTTGACATCCCTCTCAGCCCTGACATTCCATTTCTATCCCTCATAGATCTCCAAATTCCTTGGATATGGACCTTAAGAGTGTCCTTTTGGTGAGACTAAGAGGACCCTCATAAAAAACATATTGGATGCTTTCTGTCAGGATCCTTCTATGGATAAAATATTGGCCTCAGACCCCAGATTTGGCCCTAAGGAAATGCCACAAATCTCATTCTTTGTCTGTCTGCCTGCCTGCCTGCCTGCCTACCTACCTTGCTCCATCTATCTATCTATCTATCTATCTATCTATCTATCTATCTATCTATCGTACCTCGCTCCATCTCTCTCTCCATCCATCTATCCATCCATCCATCCGTCCATCCATCCATCCATCCAGTGACTCAGCCAATGGGTGTCTTTACCCGTTCCCCCACCTCCATTGCCATTGTTTGCCCAGGCTCAGATTGATTGTGCTCAGAACAATCCCCAGTACCTTCTACTCCAGTTGAGAAGATGGCCTTGCACATGCTGGCTAGCTTCCAGAGTCTGAATGACAGGATTGGGCAGAACGACTTGCCCGCACTTCCAGTCTGGGCCAGGTTCATCAGGGCTCGAATGGGGTGGTGTCTTGCAGGTTAGAGTGTGGCCATTGTGGCCTCTCCCTCCTACAAGGATGGCTGGCCTCTCTCTTGGCCCAGGAGAAGCCAGCTTTGCACAGTGTGAAAACTGAGGCCAACAGAAAGCAGAGTCATGAGCTGGCTGGAGCCACATAGCAAGAACAGATGGAGCGGGAGCCACGTCTGAGTGTGTATGTGAGCATTTTACTATTACCTTTCTCAACCGGTTGTCATCACATGACAACAGTTGCCCCAGATCCTCTAGCCTCAAGTCCAGTTGTACTTTGCAAGCTGTTTTCATGCCTTGCCTCCCTACCCACAGAGCCACACCTTAACTTCCTTGAGGTCAGACTAGCCTGGACCCACAACCCAGCAACCTTCTCCAGTCTCAGTCCCCAACATGTGGGATTTGACAACGGCAAGGGAAGCTAAGGTCTTTGGACTTATAGTGCTGGTTAACGGGCTACCCTAGGCTACAAAAGAACATCCACATCCAACCAACACAGCACTGGTTAGGACACCTGCTTTTCCCTGGGGGAAGAAGGTGGCCCTGCCAATGTCTGTCAGTGTGGAAATGGTGATTTTGTTCACAGTTGGGCCCAATGAGAACCAACCCTCTCCTCAGAGCTCTACATAAAAATCTTGTCTGAGCATTCTGGACACGGTTGTGTAGCCCAAGCTACTCTGAGGGCTGAGCCTGTGGCCCTGGAAGTTCAGACTGCTTCCTCTTCCCTGTCTTTGTCCAGGCATCCCTTCTCGCTGTCAGCCTTGTGGCTGGAGTGCTGCCTTGCTAAAGACAGAAGGTAAAGATCCGTTCAAGTATATGTCTGGGGAAAGAGAAGGGTCCTATGTTGTGGTAAAGTCAAGGACTTCAAACCACCCAGAACCTTCTCTCCACTTCGTATTTTATTATAGCTACAAAGGATTCTTCTCTAGCCATGACACAAGTAAAATGGCTATCCTCTGAAAAGCCTTCTCCAAGGCCCATAGTCAGGATTGGACTTCCTAGTCCCTTGGTCCTTTGTATAACACTCTCTTGTAAACCACTTTTCCTAATGGGTTTTATGTCCGACACCAAATTCAGGGCAGGCTAGAGACGAGTAGAGAGGTAGTAGTTGGCCCACATTATACAGACACAGCTGGGCCCAGTCCAGCTCAGTTCCGGCCTCCAGCTTTCCCAGGATGCTTTGCTCTTGGAGACTGTTCTGTTCCCTGTGACTCTGGGCTCTCCACCAAATAGGGGTCCTGACTTGAGACCTGACGCTGCCTCTACCTGTCCCCTACACTGCAAAGGGAGCTGGTTCTCACCACCATCACATCCAGAAAATACCTTCAGCCTTGTGGCCAAGGAACACAGCTGCCCAGTGCCAGGCCAGGAAATAGGTTTGGGCATTTCAACACTTAGGACTTGAGAGCTCGAGAATATGTATACACTGTGCCTCACTGGCACGGACTCACAAAGCGGCGGTTCTTTCCCTGGCTTTCATTACGGGGCCTGTAGGGGTGAAGGCTGGGATCCACAATGCTGCCAGCTCTTAATAATGGAGGCAAGGTCTCTGCTCTTGAACTCCCTTACCCAGCGACTGCTCCATCTGAGACATGTGAGACATCTCACCATTGATGACCTGCCAATTCAACATCTCTGTCAGCATCACCAAGCCCAGCCCCATGTTGTGCCCTTTGGAAGAGGGCAATTCCTCTCCTGCTGATTCTTGGCCTAGGACATACTTAGGCCCCTCAAGAAGCACTCAGATGGAGCCTCTCCAATAAGGGTCACCTTATGAGGTCCACAGACCTAGAGTAGATTGTCATGGTAGCATGTCTAAATTGAATTCAGATGACTCCTCTCTGGAGGCGGGACATTGGGATAGACGGTTCAGTCAGCTAGAGAGGATGGGGAGGAGCTAGAAGTGCAAGCCTGGGGCTGGCAAGGTAGGAAACATCTGGAGTAGGACATTTGTGTGCTTCTGTGTCTGCACAAGTGCTGGCCGTTTGTGTACCTGTGTGTCTTATGTTATGTCTGTGTGTCTGCATATGTGCCCATATCTTTGTGTCTATATGTGACCCTGTGTTTCTATATGTGCCCATGTCTGTATATGTCCTCATGTCTGAGTGTTTCTACATGTGTCCATGTCTGTGTGTATGTGTCCCTGTGTCTGTATATGCCCCAATGTCTGGATATTTGTATATATCCCCATGTCTCTGCATCTCTTTTATGTCCCCATGTCTGTGTGTCTGTATATGTCTCTCTGTGTGTCTGTATGTATCCTGTATCTTTATATGTCCCCATATCTCTGTGTGTATATATGTCCCTGTGTCTGTGTGTCTCTATATGTCCCCATGTCTGTGTGTCTGTGTATGTCTCCTTATCTGTGTGTCTGTATGTGTCCATGTGTCTCTATATGTCCTCATATCTGTGTCTATATGTGCCCATGTCTGTGTGTCTGTATATGCCCCCATGTCTGTGTGTCTGTATATGTGTGTCCCTGTGTCTGTGTGTCTGTATGTGTTCCTGTGTCTGTGTATGCCCCTGTGTCTCTGTTGTCCCTGTATCTGTGTGTCTCTATTGTCCCCGTGTCTGAGTGTCTCTATATGTCCCTGTGTCTGTATGTGTTCCTGTGTCTCTATATGCCCCCATGTCTATGTGTCTGCATGTGTCCCTGTGTCTCTATGTGTCTGTGTGTCTCTATATGTCCCCATGACTGTGTTTGTATATGTCCCTGTTTCTGTGTATCTCTGTATGTCTCCACATCTGTGTATGTCTCCATGTCTGTGTGTCTCTATGTGACCTTGTGTCTCTATATGTCCCCGTGTCTGTGAGTCACTATATCCCTGTGTCTCTGAGCAGTGTGGCTGTGTTCTTATTCTCGTCTGACCCTCACTTTCATGGAGATGAGGGATGAGCTGTTGGAGTTGCTTGAATGCCCCAGGATCTGGTTGGGCCTTGACCTGCCACTAGAAGATCCTGCCAGGCAGGTTTTTCTGGCCTAGTGGTGGTAGCAACTGCAGCGACAGCAAAGGTGATGGTGGCAGCCCAGGCAGGGAAAGAGAGGTGGGGTGGGGCAGAGAAGAGAGGAGATTAGCACTCCTGCCTAGCCAGAAAGCACCTTGAGTCCCTGAGTGTCCCAACTGGTTATGTGGGCATGCCCTACCTGCTGAGTGGTCCCCACTGGGAAGACCTTGTTTGCATCTCTGCAGAAGGGGAGGTGCAGAACTGACTATACTATAGCAGTTTAGAGAAAGATGCTGAGTGACCCAGTGGAGGAGAGTGGCCACGGGTGATGTTCCTGCTGGGCCTTTGGGACCTACGGCAGCAGACAGAGGACAAAGGGGCTGTCAGGTCCAGAGGGCCATAGACACTGTTTGGATGCTGCTGGCTGGATAACTCTGGACAAGTCACCATAGTTCTTATCTGAAAACTGGATTCCAAGTCCTTACTTCTGTCTGGTCTTTGCTGTGAGTCCTTCTCAGCCTAAAGCCACAGCTTCCTTTACTCCTACTCCCTCCACTGCTCATTTTCTCCAAAGCCTTTCTCATCTCCCAAGATTTTACAGAATTTGCATTTTGTCTGCCACCTGTGGAATGTAGGCTTGAAGGATGAAGACCTTACTGTTTTCTGAGTAATGCACAGAGTCAACATGGTGGTACTCAGCAGCTCTGTGGATCGCATGGGCTGAGCAATCGTGTGCTTCACTGAGAGTCCTTACCAGCATGGGTGGAAGCAAACCCCTTCCCTGAGGCCTGGGTCAAGTGTGGGGAAAAGAGTGTGGCCCCCATTCTGGTGCTCCAGGCCAACTCTCCTCCTTATCAAACATTGTTTCCCTGCAGACCCCAAACCTCTCTCTGATAGCTTGATTTGGCTGGCATGTGTATGAGCTGCCTCTTGTGGGGAAGGGGTGGGCAGGAATCCCTGACAGCCAGGACCACGAGGCACAGAGGCCCTCACACAGGTGTCTCCCAGCCTGGCCCTCTGCCAATAGTACCCGGGGTCCACTGTCCTGCATCCCCATTCCACAGAGGATGTAACAGCCAAGCATGGCCTGGGACTGCCTGGCTCACACAACACAAGGCCAAGAAGCAGTATGAGCTCACTCTAAGAGCCTGATTATTCATGGGAAGGGAGGCTTGAAGAAGAGTTGATGAGCCCTCAGACTGTGACACTTGGGAACAATGTAGTGATAATTACTTTAATGAGAATTTATTGAACACTTTACTATGTGCCAGGCACCAGTCCAGGCATTTGATAAGGATCTTCATTTGCAGAGTGCAGATGAGACTTGGAGAGTAACCTGCCCATGGTTAAACATCAGTGGGTTGTATGAGCTGTAAATTAAAGACCCCTTGATCACCAACCATTCTGTAAGGACAAATGGATAATCTCCTGTTATGCAATTTACAGCCTCCGAGGGTCAGCTTTGAGATGGTTCAAATTAGTTGAATTGTTGAGAGAGGATGGGACAATGGTGGGAACAGGACCCAGGAGCCTTGGCCTAGGTAAGAAAGAAGCTGACGGTCAAGGGCACCACCTGGTGGCACTGTGCAGGCCACAGCCTCTGAGCCCGTGGATCTTGCTTGTTCAGACTTTGGAAGACTTGACTTACAAGCCTTGAGAGAGAGGCTGGGGAACATTTATCAGGATTTGTTTTGGGGAAAACTCTAGACTCTTTCCTAGAACAAAATTGCTTCCCAGCACTCCTCTGCTCAAGAATTATTCTGTACTCGCTAATACTGCCCATTTCCTCTCTCATCATACAACTTTTTTTTTTAATTTTTAAAAATTTTTTAATTTTTTTTATTTTTGTGTGCGTGTACCGTCAAATCAGATCTGACTGGTACAGGAGGAGATGGCCCCTCCTTCCCCGGCAGAGCACCTGGTGGATTCGAACCGTGCACCTCTGGGATTGTAGTTGCAGCTTCTTACCACTAGGCCACCAGAGCTCCCCTATCATACAACTTTTGATATCCATACGTGCCCCTCACTGCCTACCTCTGGGTTTTTGCATGTGCTGTTCCATGTGCCTGACAAAGCCTCTCATTTCCTTATAGACCGAACTCCTACTTATGCTTCAGGGCCCAGGTCAGATATCCCCACTCTGTGATGCCTGATTCTGGTCTGGAATGATTCCACTGTAACCCCAGGGCCTTGCACAGTGGCTAACCCACAATCAGGGTATAATAAATGTAGGAGTCAAAATGCCTTGAGCAAATTCAGGAAGCTGAAGTATTTAGGTTTGAATAGAGACAGAGCTTAAGTAGGGAAGCTCCAAAGAGAGGGCTGCGGTGCTGATGAGGAGCACCTCCTGCTCAGGCTCCTTAAGTAGTTCAAACACCCTCTATCCCTGCTTTGCTATCTTAGCTTTGGGTGGGTTCCAGGAGGCACTTAATGCCACACTAGCTCACCTGGAGGGGGCTTTATTCTTGGGAATAAAGCCCAGGCTCCTCCTCTTCTGCGTCCTAGAGTCTAGATGGTGGCACTTCTTCACCCAGAAAAGATTTTGGCAAATAAGAACCCTCAATCCACCACTGAAGGAACCCAGCAGTGAAACAGTGAGGTGCTAGGCTGCTCACTGGAAGATTGGTGGTCCCAACCCGTTCAGTTGCTCTGTGGAGGAAGACATAATTTGCCACCATAAAGATCACAGCCTACAGAGCCCCGTGGGGCGGTTCCCTGCACATTGGGTCAAAATGGCTCGAAAATCAAGTTGATTGAACCTATCTGCACAATGTGGCCAGTGTAGGCAGACTGGAGCTACAGAGAACCACACACGCTGCCCCTGACTGGGCCTGTACTCAATCTCATCACTCTCACACTTTACTTCTGGCCCAGTTCTAACTGTTAAAGTCCTGTGTTTGGATACACTGTAGAAAACTCTCAAGCCATTTGCTGTGAATCACCCCTAACATCCAGGGAAGCAGACACAGCAATGGACAGCAGTGGTTCCAGAGGCCAGGCCCCTACTTGCAGCCAGTACCTGAGTGACAGCTGCGGTGGTAGCAGGGGACTGACACAAACAGTGTTTCTACTGGCAGCGGCTGGATCATATCCCAGCAGCCCTGGGTGATGGCTTAGCTGGCTTTCTTCACAGATATGCCTGCCTGTTGGATGAGCCACTGGACTTGTAGTTCACGCTGAGACAACACTAACTCCTGCCTGGATCACCATCCCAGTCTTTTCTCTGCAACCAGGGGGATCTGCTAAACACATGGATTGGCTTACACTGCTCTTCATCTCAATGGCTCCCTATTGTTTCAAGAGCCAACTCAGCCTTGCCAGGTCAGGCAGTCCCCATGCTATTGGCTTATCTGTTCCTCCACCACCTCCTGGTTTCTCCACAATAAGCTCCTGGTCGTGTGTCTCATCATGTCAGTCCCAAGAAGGCACTGTTGTGCCAGGCACTTCTGCTGTGGTCACTTGTTTCAATTCAAGCATGGTTCTAATTGCTTTAAAGAAATGAGCTAACTCTTGATTCCTTGCGATAACCCATGTGAGCAAACCAGTACAGAGAAATTAAGAGACTTGTCCAAGGTCACGCATTTTGTAACTATCAGAGCCAGAATTCCAACCCAAATGGCCTGGCTCAGAGTGGGCATGGCTGTGGGTGTGGTGAGAACTTGCCAGAACACATCCTGATGACCACCCTGTTCAATCTCTCCTGACCCTCCACCCCTGAGTGTTCTTTCCCTTGCACCTCGAGCTTCATCCCTTCCAAGAGAGGGACCTGAGGACTTCAGCCTGGGATTTAAGGCTCAAGTCTGAATCCCTCAGACTACCCCACCCCAAGCTACCTTCTCTGGGCCATACCGTGGGCTGGGTGTCACTCCCATGACCCTAGCTGTCTTTCCTACAGGGATCCTTTTCCTCCATTCAGTGGTGTCCTTTACACTGTCCTATTCCTGACCCCAGACCCCATCCCAAGGTTAGCACTCACTTAGCAGAGACAGAGAACTCCCCAGGGGAACTCTCACTCTCTCGGATTAGAAAGGTCCCCAGGTAGTTCTGCTTCTTCAGGACGTCTTCTGCCAGCTGCCGAGAAATCCACCCTGGGTACCACCTGTGGGAGAAATACAGGTGAAGGCAACAGGGTCAGATGTTCCCCAACCCTCCAGCTGTTCAGGTCTCACTGACCCTCACATTAGTCCTGAGACTAAGAGGAAATGACCACACCCATTTCAAAGATAGAGAAACTGAAGCATGAAGCAATGTACCCCAAACCACACAGCTTCACAGGCAGGAGTTGAGGCTCAAGCTCAGCTTCTTGGCTCCTGAGCCCAAGACTTTTCTACCACACATGAGGCAAACATACCCTTGGAAAAATGGTGGGGACAAAAAATCATAGTTCAATGAATCAAGACTGAACCAATCTCAGCTCAACATTTTTGTTTTCAATGATGGATATGTAATTATAGTTAGTTACATAGATATAGAAAGATAGATGATGGATAGATAGATAAATAGATGATAGATAGATAGATGCTGTTAACTACCACTCGTAGTGACTGTCTTCTAATCAGTTGGCCAAGTAGCTGCCTTCCAAATTATCTAGCACAGACTAGTGAGCAAATCCAGGACTGCATCTTTTATTTGTAACACACCTGTTGGTACCCCATCAATTCCTGGGGCATTATTATTATTATTGCCAATGCTTTCACTGCAGCTTGAACTTCTTCCCTCATCACCATTGGCTCTTTATCATATGATACTTCCTGAAATTTTTTAGTATTGACCTGTTCTTTTTTGTACAGTATTTCAATGTATCCCTTCCATCTTCTCTTGATCCTTCCTAGATCATTGGCTAACTGACTGGAAGAGATCTATATATTTTCCTGTTACCAAGAAAGGTGAACCAATAGAACATGGAAATTATCAAACAACATCATTAATACCACAGGCAAGCAAAATACTGGTGAAGATCATCCAACAATGGTTGACAGAGAACTACCAGAACTTCAGGCTGGATTTAGAAGTGGCATAGCACAGGAATACCATTGCTAACATCAGCCAGGTCTTGGCTGAAAGCAGAGAATACTAGAAGAATGTCTATTTGTGTTGGCTATGCGAAGGCATTTGAACAAATGGATCATAACAAGCATTGAGAAACAAGAGAAGTCCAGACCACTTAATTATGCTTATATGAAATTCATACCTAGACCAAGAAGCTGTTGTTTGTGTAATATAGCTAGGGTTTAAACCCAAGAAAAGTGTGCATTAGGGCTGTATCCTTTCTCCATACCTATTCAGTCTGTATGCTGAGCAAATCATTAGAGAGGTTTGATTTTATGAAGGAAAGTATGGCATCAAGATTGAAGAAAGGTTCAACAATTTGTGTTATGCAGATGACACAAAGCAAGCATGACCTGAAGTACTAGCTGCAGATAATCAAGGTCTATACCCTTCAATATGGATTACCTCTCAATATCAAGAGAACAGAAATCCTCACCATTGGGGAACATCATGGTAGATGGAGGGGAAAAAATTAAAATTGTCAACCATTTAATCTTGCTTGGATCCACAATCAACACCCTTGGTATTAGTAGTCAAGAAATCAAAAGATGCTGCCTTGGGGAAATCTGCTGTCAGGGGTCTTTCCAACAAGCTGAAGAGCAATGATGGCAATTTAAAGACTGACATGATGCTCATAGTGCTCATGATTCAAGCCACAGTCTTTGCAGTCACCTACTATGCCTCTGAGAGCTGACAATTAAAAAGGATGACAGGAGAAAAAGTGATGCATTTGAGCTTTGGTGTTGGAGGAGAGTACTACATATCCCATGGACTGCCAAAAGGACAAACCGACTTTATTTATTTATATATTTTTTGTCAACTAGAACGTTACTTGAAGGCAAAGATTGCTAACCTTCAGTTTACATATTTTGGTCATGTTCTTAGGCAATGTTTTTCCTTGGAAATGGACACCATACTTGGAAAGATGGAGTGCAGGTGGAGGATCAGCAAAGGGGAGGAAGATCCTCAACGAGATGGATTGATACAGTGTCTGCAGCAGTGTTCAAATATGCCAGGTATGATAAAGATGGTGTAGGATAGGACAGGGTTCAGATCAGCTGTTCATAGAGTTGCTCTGAGTTATACTCAACGGCACTTACCAACAACAATACAGTGACCCTGTGAACAACAGATCTAAACTTTACCTTGTCCTGCCTCATCCTTATGGCCTCCACCATGCACAAGCCCATTGTGGCAATCATTGTGTCAATCCATCTCATCCACAGTCTTCTTCTCTGCTCCTCTGCTTTTCGCAACATGTTGTCTTTTTTTCAAGTCCCTCCTGACAACATGCCCAAAATATGTGAGACCAAGTTTGACCATCCTTCCCTCTCTGGACCACTCTGGTTGCAGATCTGTTTGTTCTTTTGGCAGTCTTTGCCAGTACTCTGTGCCAACATTGCAGTGGAAAGGCATAATTTCTTCTTTGGTCTTCCTTATTCATTGTCCACCTTTTCACATGCACATGACACACACTCACTTATTGCCTTGAGTCAGAACCCCTTGTGGTTTCAGGTGAATAGAGAGGAGTGGCCTTGGGGTTACCCTGGCAACGTTCGACAAACTCTGACTTGGAGCATAACATCTTAGTTATACTGCTGACATCCTTTCTGTTTTGCACTTTAAACTTCAAAGCACATTGAAGAGAGGTCTTTGATAGCATATTTTCCCAGTGCAGCCACATGCTTTAATTTCTTGACCGCTGCTACCCATAGGTGTTGGTTGTGGTTCCAAGCAAAATGAGCTCACTGACACCTTCAGCCTTCTCTCCATCTATCATGATGTTGCCTGTTGGTCCTGGGGTGAGGAGTTTTGTTTTTCTAATGTTGAGATATAATCCATATTAAAGGCTGTAGTGAATTAGGACAAGAGGATACTGCACAGTTTAAAATCATAAAATGTGTGTGTCAGGGTTGTATCCTTCCTCCACATATATTCAGCCTATATGCTGAGCAAATAATTTGAGAATCTGGACTATATGAACAAGAATGTTGCATTAGGATTGAAAGAAGGCTCATCGATGACGATCTATCAACAATCTGCGTTATGCAGATGACACAACCCTGCTCGCTGAAACTGAGGAGGAACTCATGCACTTGCTGCAGAGGGTCAAGGACTGCAGCCTTCAGTATGGACTGAGGCTCAATGTCAAGAAGACAAAAATTCTCACCACTGGACCAATCGGTAGAAGAGATTGAGATTGTTCACAGCTTCAGTCAGCTCGGCTCCACGGTCAACACTCTTGGCACCAGTAGCCAGGAAATAAAAAACGTATTGCGATGGGAAAGTCTGCGGTTAGGTACCTCTCTAAAGTACTCAAGAGCAACGGTGTCTCTCTGGAGACTAAGGTGCGCCTGATACAGGCCATGGTTTTTGCAATCACTTGTTATGCATCAGAGAGTTAGACAATGACTAGGGAGGATAGAAGGAGAATTGACGCCTTTGAGCTGTGGTGCTGGAGAAGAGTATTGAATGTACCATGGACTGCCAAGAAAACAAACAGATTCATCCTAGAGAGGGTTAAACCAGGCTGCTCCTTGGAGGCAAGGATTCTGGGGCTTTGTCTGACATACTTTGGACATGTTGTAAGGAGAGACAGGTCTTTAGAGAGGGACATCATGCTGGGCAGAGTGGAGGGACAGCACAGGAGGGGAAGACCCTCTATGAGGTGAATTGATTCAGTGACTGGGGTAATCGGGATGGGTGTGTCAGAGGCAATGAGATTGGCACAGGATAGAGCAAGGTTTAGGGCTGTAGTACATAGGGTCGCTATGAGTCGCAAACAACTTGACAGCACATAACAACAGTCCCAAGTTTCTAATTTATCCTCTACTATTTGTGCATTTTCAGTTATAATTAATTGATATCCTAATTATACTATTGATCAGGGTTCATAAATTTGCCCATTTTTTTTCTTTGATGATCTTTATCATTTTAGATTTTATAATAAGTACTTGATTCATCTTGAGTTAGTTTTAAAAAATTTTGTGGGGTATGGGTTTGTTTCAATTTTATGCAAATAGATATCCTCTTGATAACACTATTTGTTAGAGGCAGATTTTTTCCACATTTAATGGATTTTGCCTCTTGTTGAAGGTTAGTTGTCCTTAGGTGTTTGGACATGTTTAGGTTCTCAATTCTGTTCCACTGGCCTGTGTTTCTGTTACTGTACCAGCACTGAACTGTCTGATTTCTGTTTTGTGTAGTAGGTTTTGACATCAGCCAGTGTGAGACTTCCACTTTGTTTTTCTTCTTCAGTACTACTTTGCTTATCTGGGGTCTCATCCCTTATTAAGTGGATGCTTACTTTCTTCATTCCTTGGATTGGATGGCACTGTATTTGTAGATTGCTTTTCATAGTATTGGCATTTGCACAGTGGTGATTCTTCTAATTCATAAGCATGATGGGTTTTTGCAAGAGTGTTTTGTCATTTTCTTTGTATTCTTTGTTTTCCTTTTGTATCCCTGATTGTTGTTGTTTTTGTTATGTGCCGTCGAGTCGTTTGCGACTCATAGCGACCCTATGCACAACAGCCCTAAACCCTGCTCTATCCTGCGCCAAC